GGACCTTTTAAAGGTCATCTACTCCAAGCCCCCTGCAATGAGCAGGGATTATGTGCTGTCCTCTCAATCACAAACTCAGAGCAGCTACAAATTCCTCTGGATTGTCTTCCAGGAGTTGTTCTGCTGCTCTGCTCTGCAGGAGTGCTCTGGAGGTGCTCATGGCATTATTTTTCTGTGATTTAAGGTTCCCCACAGATCTCAGCCAACGTTTTTGGTCCTCATTGACACCGTTCTGTGAACTACAACTCATTAAATTAGCACGAGTTTGGTTTGGATTAATTGGGTTATGAGGAGCTTGACACTCTCCATCTGGAGCTGAGCCCTCAGTTGTCTCCTGCTGGGGATGAACCATCCCATTCATGAAAAGACACTTCAGTTACTAAACAGATAATTTCCAGATTTAGCTTTTCCCACAAGGGCTAAATGGTGCTCCTGGATTCCCACAGATTTCCCTGAAGGAAAAGAGGGGACAGGGTGGCGGTGACATGGTTCTGTGGCCAAGCATCTGAGGAGCAATTCAACTCTGTTCTTTCCTTCCCTCTTCTTCCCCCACTGTGTCAAATATAAAGCCTCAAAAAAAAACCCCTTAAAATGACCTAAAACTCCCTACAAGCATCTGGGAACTACAGGAACCCCTTGTAGAGGTGATCAATGAGTATCATATGAATGTTGTGTCCACTAAGAAAAATATAAAATACAGATTATTTGTCTTATGTATAATCTTAAAAAAAAAAAAAAAACAAAAAAAAACAACAGAAAATAAAATACGGATGAATCCTTTCATGTATAATTTCAAAAAAAAAAAACAAACCCAAAACCAAACAAACCACAAATTAAAAAAATAAAAAAACCCCACAAAACCAGTATTATTCTAAGGACTAGACTAGAACATTAGCAAAAGAGATTTATGGGAGTACAAGCGTTGGGAGACTCGTAAACCAGGTGTACCTTCAAAGTTTAATGAGGGCAGTGGCTTGGGAATGTCGCTCTGTGAATACTGAACCATGTTGTGGAGAAGAAACATCCTTACCTGGGTCCTCCTCACAGCCAGGTCTGGGCACTCGGTGCAAGATTTTAACTCAGTGATGCCCCTGATCCTCAGAACACATTGCTGAGGAGGTTTAACTCTCCCTCCCCTCCCAGAAACTCAAACCAGGCAGCCCAAAATGAATATTTCAGGGTATTATTTCAGCACAGACATGATTGCAGCTTTCCTAGATGATGTGTTAATATTTTAACCCGATTACACCAACCTTTCACCTCAGTGGAACAATGGAATTTTCTCCTGGCGGATTTTTCCACAGTCAGACATTTTCAGGGCCCTCAGAAATATTGGGAATGTTTCTTCTGCATCACAGATTGGGATTTTATTTCATGGTCCCCTCATCTAACCCAATAACTGCTGCTGAAATTAGATCAGGCATTTTAGCAGGAGATTCAATCTTGTTTTAAAGACCCTCATTGACGCTGCATGAACCACAGCCATTATTAATCTGTTCCAATGCCTAATTACCCTCATTAAGAACATAATTAAGAAATTGTCTGATTTCTGTTTGACCTTTTCCTGTCTTCGATTTCCTGCCATTTCTGTCAAAATTTTCTGGTGGTGTTTCTGATAATGTCTCTCCCAGATTCTCTCATAAATACCCCTGCTAATAATAAATGCATCTATAAAATACAAATTCTCTTCTTCCTGGCCTAGAGTGAAAGTGGTCTATGTAGACAAAAAATCTCCCCCCCAAAAAAACCCAAAACAAACAAAAAAACCCCAACCCTCTCGAAAAAACCCTAAAGGACAGAAAGAACTAAGAAACATAAAATGCACCATTTTTAAAAAATTTATTAAAAAAGAAACTGAGTGGCTCATCTTGCATCACGGATATTTAGACAAAAGTCCAGCATTTAAGGTTCAATTCCAAGGTTTTAATGCCTCAAATTCATTTTTGCAGCTCTCAGTGCTGTGTTCAAGGTGCCCAATTGCCAGTTGATCCCTCCCAACACCCACATTTCCTCCAGGATGGGTAAATACATGCCAAAAAACCCAAAACCTTTGTGACACCACAGGGGTGACAGTCAGAGCACATTTTGTTGTATGATTTGTATCTCCCTGACTCCTACACAGAGTTTCCATGGGAAAACTGCAGAATGCCTACACATGGTAATTTTTAGTGCAGCCTCTAAACCTATCATCTCCCAAAAAATGTCCTTTTATAGCCTTGTCAATCAGTGTATAATTAACTGGATTTACGTACGGAACAGATGGGAATTTTGGAAATGTTTCTTTTACTAAATGTATGTGGGGAGGAACACAAAAAAGAAAAAAAGGAAGAAGAACCATGACTCGGGGATTTAATATATAAGTATTCCTAATGTGATGTTGAATTTAATTAAGTTCTATAAATATGGACAGTAAAATGTGCAGCAAAACATGCCAAGCATTATTAATTACAAATGATGACAACAAAGTTGTCTGGTTTTCAGAAGGGAAAGTCAATAAATACCATATTTCAGGGTGAAAAGCAAACATCAGGGTTTGGCCAGTGGCTTCAGATGACCTCTTTAAAGGGAATTTTCCCAAGATTTAGGGACATGAAGGCTCTGGCATTTGCAAATATGACTGGGAAAGGGCAAGAAGATCAGGATTCAGAAGAAAACAGCATTTCCAGATAGTTCTTAAAGAAGAAAGTGGAGTTGCCTCATCTGCCTGTGTTGAGCATCACCTGCCTCACGGGAACGGGAATATTTTCCCTGGATTTAAAAAATTGGCCCATAAATTTGCCCAGGACAGGGTTACTTTTGCAAGGTGTACAAATTTCCAGAGGGACAAACTAAAGGAGGAGGAAGGAAGACAAGAAAAGAGTTGGATATTCCAATATTCCATGATTCCCTACACAGGGAATGTCAAGGGTGCAATGCCCTAAGAGCAATGTTTGATTTATGTAATCCCTTCATGACCTTAATTAAGTTCACCAGCACTTAATTAATATTTCTGAAAAGGATAATATATATATAATTTCAGATTTATTTGCTTCCTCCATATGTAAATCCATCAGAATATCACATTTAATTGCTGTTTGCTATTTTCTTTCTTTCCATGAGCTGTTCTATAGGTGTGTTTTTCTCCCTGTTGGAGTCCTGGGTCAGACTGAGTTCTCCTGGTAAATTAAGGACATAAAAGAACAGAGAAATGTGACTTTTTTCTTTTCTCTCTGCACACTCCCTAGACACAAAAACCTGGCTTCTTGACAGCTCAGTTCAGAATTCAAAGAGAAAATAGAATGCAAAATTAGAAGGCAATAAAATGAATAAAAATCTCCAGATGAAAATCGTACTAATACTTACTATTTTGAGAAAAGGCATACTTTCAATATCTGTAAAATTAAAATTGCTTACAAACTCACCTGAAATTGCCAAAATAATGCAGATAATTAGAACAAGAGCTCCTGGCAATGGGCTTTTTGCTCTGTCAGATAAGGAGCTGGAATTCTGGCTCCCAAGCCATCCACAAATGGTCCTGTGCAGGGCTAAGGCTTGGACTCTTTGATCCTTGTGAGTCCCTTCCAACTCAGTATATTTTGGGATATTCTGTGAAATATATTTGTGAGCTGGACTAAGAACTGTGCAGCTTCTCTTGCCCTGTGAAGAAATTCTACATCACAAAGCAACTCTAAAGCTGGAACTCAAATTTGAGATTTGCTTTCAAACCACAGCCAACTCCTGGGCATTGTGTTTGGATTTTATTATTTCGGGTGAAATCCACCTCCAGGAGCACCAAGATCAGGCCCTCCACCAGTCTGAATTATCATAATAATAAGTGGATGTAATATGATCAGTGCTGGAATTTGATTTATTACATTCAAGAAGGAAATGAAGGGCAAATAACACAGGTTTGTTTATCATGGGGTTCAAATAAACACTGATAACATCCCTGATCATAATTCATTGAAGTGTCAGAACATACAGGCTGATGAACACTCAACTTTTCCTCCTTGGGGTACGAAATATAAATTAATTATACCTTGCAGGCAGCTTGCAGGGTCTGTGGAGATGAGGAGAATTAGATGCAAAAGACTTACTTGGCTGTTGGCTATTTCCAAGCTATGACAGGGGAATTATTTTTATTACCAATATAACCAAGTAGCCCAGAGTGAAAAGCCCCCAAATGATAATTAAGAAAAATTATCAGGAAAATTGGACCTCCTGGCTTATCTTGTTATCCTGGGCATATTTCTCATGTTATTCCTTCAGAAAGGCATCAAACCCCATCAGCCCAATTCTGAAAAATAGTTAGGCTTGGACTTTTAACACCTTTGGGTAATTCCTAAAGATAGAGAGAAGGATAAACTTTCTTCCAACCAATACCTTGAAATAAATGGGATCAGATTTATGTAATATTACCATGAACTTATCTCGGGAGTTGAATACAATGTAAAGTGAAGGAGAGAGGAACTTTTTGAAGTTAATAATGTCACCAAAGCCTCTGTCTCACAGAACTTCATGTAGTCATGACAAGCAGAGTAGAAAGATAATACTCAAAAAATAGATAGAGAGAAAAAGGACCTGTCAACTGGAAACACCAAAAATGCAACTTGTTAAAGCTGTTGAGTTTATTTTCAGATATGACAGAAAGTTTTGCTTTAAACCTGAACCCTTTATTTGTCATTTTAGACTATTTTACTTTTAGTTCAGTGAACCACAGAATCATGGAGAGGTTTGGGTTGGGAGGGAGCTTAAAGATCAACTTGTTCCCCTCCCTGTCACGGGCAGGGACACCTTCCACTAATCCCAGATTTCTCCAACCTGGCCTTGGACACTCCCAGGGATCCTGGGGCAGCCACAGCTTCTCTGGGCAACCTGTCCCAGGACCTTCCCACCCTCCTAGCCAGGAATTCCTTCCCAGTATCCCATCTAACCCTGCTGGCTTTCAGTTTAAAGCCACCACTCCCTGTCCTGCCACCCCAGGCCCTCGAGCCAAAGTTTAACGAGATGTTTCTACTCACAGTGGTGCACCTTCAGAATTAAAGTGTCAGGCCCCATTTCTGCATTTACTCAGACACGTGTTCAGGTTTCCTGCATGGAAAAATGAGATCAGCAGGTTAATCCTGGTTGGAAAGCAAAGTCTGTGGATTCCATCAACGGAGACCTACATCAAATTAAATTATATGTATTTTTTTCCCGAATAACTGAAGCTCAACAACATGAGCTTGAAATAACAACAGAGATTAAGCTTTTGTAATATGTTAAATAATAATTTTCATATGACACTAGCATTTGTTTTCATTAATAGATAGCACTAGGAAGCTTAAGACTTCGATTCAGGAAAGTATTATATCTTAACCAAGAAGTAGGGAAAAAATTAAACCCTGTGTATGAATTACTCTGTACATGTTTAATTTATCTAAGTCAACAAGCTTTCCTATACTTCTTCACATTTTTTGTCTTTAAACAGACAAAAGCAAAGAAGGAAATCAAGCCAAAATGAGCAGAAATGTTACTTTGTGTGTAATAAAAAGTGTGGGATTATGAGGGAGATGCACTTCTGAAATGTAATTAAAGTTTCCCCCACTCACCGCTGGAATTCAGGTGCCTATTTAAAATGGAATACTTATGTCTGGATTACAGGGAGCTGTTCCATCTGTAAGAACAAATGCTAATTATGGAGGCATTAACAAAACTGCTACAGAATTGTTATCATTATGAGTTGCTTTGATGACTTTTCACTCCTGAATTTTGGAAGAGTAAGAGCAGAATGATGGAGATGTGAAGAACAAACATCCCCCCAGACAAGCCCTGCAATGCTTTGCTGAGGTGTTGGAGGAGCCCAGGGGGGAAAGATCCAGTTACAACGTCCCACCTGTGGCATCTGCTTCTGCCCTGCGATGGTTCCACGTGGGTCCTGCTTGTCCTCAGACCTGTCACATCATCCCAGACCTTCCTCCTCCCACTGCAGTGATGCCCTGACAGCCTGTCAGTGTGGGATGCTCTCCCATCTCATCAGAGCAGCAGTGGGTACGTGAGGCACCACTATTAAAGAGCACTGCGTGTTCCAGCTGAAACCAGGGCTGGAGATTGAAGTTTAACAATAATCCACTCTGGCACATCCCATATTCCACAGCCAGCTCTGTCTAGTCCAAACAATGAGACAGAAACACGCGATGATAATCTACTCTTGGAGTTTGGCAAAGTCAATTTGGGGCAGTCAGCAGAAAAGGTCAGCTCATTCTTCCCCTCCTCCGACTCCATAACCAGGCTGTGCTTTGAGAGACTCCCGATGATTAAAAGTTGTCTTCAAGTTGTAACCAACAGACACACAAGTCTCCTCTCTTTTTTTTTCCAGGAACAGAATGTGTGTGCAACTCTGGTGGGTGTCACACAGGGCTGCAGCTGAAGGCAAGATTCTCAAAAGCAGCATTTTGCTGCAATTATGTTATTTGTACCACAAAGAGACGCAGGTTTCCTTGTCACCACTGAGCTCTGCTTATAAAAATTGCCTTTGCACTTATCAGGTAAAATGATACTGTTCTGAACTTCTCGTGAATGTGCACATGAAATCAGAGTTAAAAACTCAAAATAGTAGAAGAGTGAAAAATAAATTATAAAGAATGTTTTGATGTAAGAACCCTTATTTTGACACAGCAATGGAATATTTACTCACCCAGACCCACACAGACTTTGCTTAACTCGGGTTGGAATGTTGGAGGATCAGCACTGAGCTCTATTTCAGCTTGGAGCACCTCCTAAATTAATGAAATTCCTTTTAATCTGTCAGCTTTGATTTCTGTTAATGGACTCTGTAAACATGTTTAACTAAATGGTTGAGCACAGGAAACTAAATGTTCTCCAGATACTGGTCTCAAACAGAAGTTTGTAACAGCAGCTGTGTAAAGTTGGGTCCATTGTTGGCCTGGGCAACTTGAGACAAAGTTGAGATTTTCTGTCAGTGGGTACTGAATGAGGCCATCAGGCACAGTCCTGCAAAGAGAGTTTCCTGCTCTTCCATAAAAATTACAAGGGGAAGAAGAAGGTCAATGTACTCCTGTCATACTTCTCCCCAGTGCAAAAGTAGAGTTCTCTGTTATACTCAGAATGAATTGCACTGAGGAAACAGGTGATTTTTTGGCTCTGTCAACAGACACCTCACACACACATTCAGAGAGCTTCCAGGTCTTCCAGACATTTAATCCTTTAAGACAACAATCACAGTTTGAAAGAATCCTTCACAATTCATTTTTGGGCCGTTTGCATGATGAAGTCCCACAAAGAGGTGCAGTAATTCAAGAGGGGGGGTGGGGAGGAGATGGGAGGCTGTGGGTTTAACGGGAAACCTTAAGGCTATCAAAATGCTCTGTGAAATCACCAGGGATGAAATCCATATTTCCCTACTGAGTTAAACACGACCTGACAATGCCAATGAACTTTGAGAGAAATGACAGACAAATTACAGCATGCGTGTGCTAAGCCATGTTGAAACCTTCATTTCGAAAAGGCATCCTGTCAGGAGCTGTAAATACTGTGGGCTAACACCCAAAGATTTGCTTCCTGCTTCCCATGGAATGCACTTTCTGCTCACAGACTGCTTATGGACCGTGCAGATTATTCAGTGGATTGTAAATTAAAGTCATTTTGACCAGGAAGAAAGTGAGGGATGCCAAGGTGTTTCTGCTCACAATCAGGAAAGGCTTCTTGTTTGAAGATCTCCACTAAAAGACTATCTCTTCCCACACTGTCCCAGACTATATATTCCATATATTATATGTCTGAGGATTTGCTTTGTGGGGGTTTTAGTTTTTTAGTGAGTTATTGCTTTTAGTGCTTGTTCCCCAAAAGCCATGTGAAGATGAAGGAAGCCTGCAATCAGCAGTTGTACACATATCCATGTATACATCAGATGGAATTTCTTCATGGAAAGGGTTGTTAAAAACTGGAATGGGCTGCCCAGGGAGGTGCCCAAGGATGGACTGGCTGTGGCACTCAGTGCCCTGGGCTGGGGGACAAAGTGGGGATGGGGCACAGGGTGGACTGGATGACCTTGGAGATCTTTTCCAACATTAAGGATTCTACGATTCCATATGAAAGACATTAGGATAGGATGCATGATTCCAACAGGATTTGGTTTATACCCTCTCCATCTGAAGCTGCCCCACGGAGGGCTGGGTTACACCACCCCCTTCCACACCTTCTGTTACCACACGGTCATGAGCTCTCACTGTTGGGAGGAGAAATGAGGAGAGGTACTGAAAACTGAGCCCTAAGAGGCTTTTTAAGCTCTGTGTCATCCACTTTCCTGCTTATATCCATCCTCTACTCCCTGCCCCATCGCTGTCCCCATTTGCCACCCTCCTTTCAGCACCTCCTGCTGAAACACCCCCATCTCGAGCAGAAACACTTGGAATGCTGCAACTCCCAGCTCTGAGCCAGAGCCACTGAACTCACTTCAGCTAATGCTGCAAAATGAACATTAACAACACTTGCACTTTTATTGGTTTATTTATTCCTTCTTTAAACCGGCTACAAGCACAGCATCTGATCCTGCAATCATTTTTCATGTCTCATAATGTTTTATTCACGTGCTGAGCTCCTGTCAGACCAAATAAGACTATTGCAAAGAACAAATGCCTTTCTGGGTGAACAAAGAGCAGGGACTGGGCTCACAGTGCTCTGGGAAACATTTGGACTGCCTGGCTGACACAGCGACACCAGGATTTGGAGAGGCCACATCAAAAATGGCTTTGGTTTTTTTGGAAAAGTTTCCCACATTGATTGTTTCTCCACGAAAGTGAGAAATCCTGCTGGAAAAAAATAACAATCTCCTAAAGTGAACAAGTGAAAGACGATGATTTTCTGCAAGAAAGGGATTTATTTTCAGACCAAATTTTTTTTTTTTTTGCTGTTGTTGCTGCGCTTTTGGTAGCGAGAAACCTTTATTTAGTCACCAACCCATTTATCAGGATGTTTCTAAAAAGCTCTGGTTTGGCTTTCCCCCTTGTCTTTCTGCTCCTTTCACCATATGCTGTTCTGACACGCCAATACATCACAGGGCAAGGTTGTCAGATCCTCCCTCTGGAGTTTTTACTAAATACTGCTGAAAGCAACTGTACAGCTCTATTGATCTCACAAAAAATAATTAAAGAAAAGGGAAAAAAAAAGAGTTGCAACCAAGCCAAGCTTCCGGTGAACAAACCCTGAAAGTATTTCTCTTTGATATTACATTAATCTGGGTTATTAACAGCACTAAGATCCATGTGAGGTCACTTCAGAGGTTGCCCTGACGGAGGAGAAGTAAAACATCTGCAGGAAACACGTTTCTGTAACATTGTGCCTGACATGGGAATTAATGGGTGCAATTCCACAGCCTGTGTTATGCAGGAGATCAGACAAGATGATCATAGTGGTGCCATCTGGCCTTAAAAAATCTATGAATCTACATTTAAATTCCCACTTGACCCCAGGTAACCTCTCTCTGAGCCCATCTGCATGTTGAATATTCCCGTTAAAAGGCAGTCAACAGCAAGCCAAGCTTTGCTAACCTCAATCAGCCTTATTTCATGTAGCCACTGACATCATATTTTGGCAATAAACCCCCAAGAAAACCTCATACACACCCAAGCATTTCTGCTTATAAGTGCAAACAACTGAAAAAATAATTCATTAAGTGCCTGGAACCACCAGACCATTTCCTGGAGACCCCCCCTGAGGAGCTGCTGCCACCGAGTTCTGAAGAACAACCTGAACAACCAAGTGGCTGATGTTTGTGTGCAACAAACCCTGGGAAGGAATTTGGTTGGGATGGGAGATGAAGAGTTGCACAGAGAGTGGTCCTTGGGACCACAGACAGCTCAGGAAAAGAATTCATGCGGGTTTTAAGTGAGATGGGTAAAGAGAAACCCCCAAGGATACCAATCCTGTGCTTCTAGTTGGAGGGATTTCTTTTTTTTCTCTAATGATTGGTCACCCAAGGCCTGGCTTAAAATGAGGCTTTCAAAATCCAGCAGAATAGGGCTTTTAAAGAGTCACAGTGGCAGAGCAAGATGGAAACTCTTTGCCAGGGCTTGGCATCTCCCTGCTCAAGG